AGAGAGAGAGAGAGAGAGAGAGAGAGAGAGAGAATTTTTTTAATATTTATTTTTCAGTTTTCGGTGGACACAACATCTTTGTTTGTATGTGGTGCCGAGGATCGAACCCGGGCTGCACGCATGCCAGGCAAGCGCGCTACCGCTTGAGCCATATCCCCAGCCCACTGCCTTAAAATYTGTAAGGTTCTGTGTGACCTGACCTACACCAGATCCTCTAGGATTATCTCTTAATCCCTCAATCTCAGAGTATATTTATGTTCAGAACAAATGTTCTAACTTCTAGACCATTCCACACTGAATTTCCCTTAGCTGGAACATCTTTCCTTCTGCATCTTCCCCTTTAACCTGAAACCTTTACCCACATATGTACACAGCTTCCTGACCCATTCCTTTATCACTGGTGACCAGTAAAACATCAGTCTATGCTAGCATCCAGTAAATCTCAAACAAATAAATTTTATCATGTATTAAAAATGATTATAGTTATGAGTAAATAATGGAATGCTAGGTATATGGGAATAAAGTACTGTAGTCACAGTCAATGGGTAGAAAATATAGCCAGCCTATTAAGATGTGRGAAACTCTATTTCTGCAGAAATACACATATTCCCTTTATCCTCTTTCCACTCAATTCTGTTGATATATAAATTCCCATTACAACAAAAATGTCCTTAATTTTGAGTTATTCAGAAAGCAGAGCCTAAGAAAACGTGGTTTGTTTGGAAGACGACTCTTAGGAATAGTATTATAAATCAGGAATGAGGCATTAGGAGGAAAAATACCAGTGTTACTGGATTGGTTAATGCTGTGGGCCCCCATTTCATTGGGGATCCCTCTGAGGAACTGTAGAGAAACATAGTTATCCCTCAGAAAGGAGACTGAAGCACTTACCCACCAACTGTCATCCTTCATTGGTTGAGTGTTGTCTCTGGGGTACTTGTCCCCCAGTCTTCTGGGGATGAACGAGATCCTGATCCTTTGGCTTTACAGAAATCCCCAAGGCAAAAAAGGGACTACCAGCACTTGCGGCAGGAAGCTGGGAGAACCCAGGATACTATTACAGCTGCAATGAGGTTAAAGATGGGCTGAGGGCATATTGTCTAAGGCACTAACAATTTCTACTCCAAATATCCTTATCTCCATTAATCACTGGGTACCAGATTAAATACAAAAAGAATACGAAATACCAAACCAATTTCACTTTCTTCTTTTAGAGAATTGATAGCTTAGGAGTTTAGGGAAATTCCACTAATTTACTGAATTAAGTGTGGATGATATGAGCAGACCTACTTAGGCAAAAGGTAAATAGATTGAGCTATACTCCAAAAAAAAAGGTTGATCAATGATGCATACTTCCAGATATATATTGGTATTCCTTTCAATATACTATATGTGGATGGTGCACCTGGAGTTGTACCATGTAGCAACCCTGCCTAGTATAAAGTAGCTCTTTTTTAAATGTCTCTGAAAGGAACAGAAGATGAAATGTCAGAAAGCTGTTTGAACTAGAGTATTAGGAAATTATGGATCAGCAGTTTTCAGATGTGGGTTATTTTGTCCCCAGAAAACATCTGGCAATGTTTAGAGATTTCTGGTTGTCAAATTAGGGAAGGAATTGCTACTGTAATTTACTAGGAAGAGACCAGGAAGCTGTAAAACATCATACAATGCACAGGACAGGTCCTTTTTCCCCAATAAAGAACTATCCTACACCAAATATCAATAGTTAAGGTTAAGCAACCCTAACAGAGATAAAGGGTACCTGGATTTTGATACAGAAAAATATGCATGGATATATTATTTCCACATTTAAAAAATGTTTAATTAAAAATTACTATATACCAGCAATACAAAGTGTTGCATTAGTACCCCCAAAACCAAAAGAATTGGTGAGTCCAATACATCGTCTATCAGTTTTCCATTCCTGTGCCTTTAGCGGAACATAATTCAGATCAAATTCTGGTTCTGTGCAATCCAGATTTAAAGTAGGTGGTAGTTTTTGATAATAACAAGCTAATGCAGTAAAAGCTGCCTCAACTGCCCCTGCAGCTCCCAGAAGATGTCCTGTTGCTCCCTTCGTTGAGGAAACTGCAAGGGCATATGCATGGTCTTTAAAGAGATGTTTGATGGCTTTGTTTTCAGCAGCATCTCCCAATGGTGTGGAAGTAGCATGTGCGTTGACATAGGATATGTCTTCAGGTTGAACCCCTGCATCTTTTATAGCAGCAGTCATACATCTAATAAGAAAGGAAATTAAACTTATCAAAACTAAGTTAATTTTAATAGTTATTTTGTTATTGTTTTATTTTTATGGTACTGGTGATTGAACCAAGGGTATTCTACTACTGAACTACATTGTCAGCCCTTTTTATTTTTTATTTTGAGACAGGGTCTTGCTACCTTGCTAAGGCTGGCCTTGAACTTGCAAACCTCCTGCCTCAGCCTTCCAAGTCATTGGAATTACAGGTGTATGTCACTGCACTTGCTGACAGACTATTTACCTGAATGGTTTATGTGAAAGAAATATAAGTATCAGAGTACATTGGATGAACACCACCTTTCATTATCATGTGAGTTAGAATGCCATCTCTTTGGGAATAACGAGTCACACGAGCACCTTAAGATTCTTTCAACACCATGCATTAAACACACTAACTCATGGACTGTACAATCGCAAATAAAATATAATTCCATGTATTTGAACTGGCATTTTTCCTCAGGAAAAAAACATGTTGATGCAACACTAAAACAATTATTGGAAATTTTTTTTATGGGAAGGGGCAAGGTGGAGATTTAAAATATGGAGAAAGGTCTGTTTTAGAACTAGGGATGTAGCTCAATGGCAGAGCAATTGCCTAGCATGTGCAAGGCCCTAGTTTGATGTCCAGCACTGCCAAAAAAAAAAAAAAAAGAACAATAAAACTTTTAAATTTTTTTTTCACATTTAAATATAAAACTTAGCATATCTACTACTACTTCAGTGCTTTGAATAAACTCTCAAAATCCTCTTTATTTAGGATATAAGAATCCTAAATAAATAATTGTGAAGCCAAAAAGTAAATCTAAAAACTTTTTTTTTTTTTTAAAGAGAGAGTGAGAGAGGGGAGAGAGAGAGAGAGAGAGAATTTGTAATATTTATTTTTTAGTTCTCTGCAGACACAACATCTTTGTTGGTATGTGGTGCTGAGGATCGAACCCGGGCCGCACGCATGCCAGGCGAGCGCGCTACCGCTTGAGCCACATCCCCAGCCCAATCTAAAAACTTTTAAAAAAATTCTCTGAAAGGGCTGGGGATGTGGCTCAAGCTGTAGCTCGCTTGCCTGGCATGCATGCGGCCCGGGTTTGATCCTCAGCACCACATACAAAGATGTTGTGTCTGCCAAAAAAATGAATATTAAAATATTTTTTTAAAAAAATTCTCTGAAAGAACCTTTTAAAATCTTCTGGATGTCAACACTTTTTTTAGTTCCTGATCACTGAGCTGCAATTTCTATTTATTAACAGACAGTTCAGGGTATAATTTTAAGTGTGCTAAAAGGATTCTCCTACAGATAACTATATAGCAGGCAGTAAACTATGGCTCTGTTCGGATACCTGCTTTTGTAAAAACTGTGCTTTCATTAGAACACATTCACACCCATTCACTTAGGTACTACTGTCTGAGGATGCTTTCACAAACAGTTACAAAAGAAACTCTATGGCTCACAATACCAAAAATATCTATTATTTGTCCCTTCACAGAAAAAGTTTGCTAAATCCTAGCTAATTTAACTAGGTAAAACTTATGTTTGAAAAAAGCTAAATTATTAGCTAATTCATTATCAAAGACTTTTTAAAACTGTAATTCATTACTTATCCTCTACCACAATTAACTCAATTTTCAAAATGTGGCCTTTAGGCCAGTAGCATCACTGCAATCCAGGAGTTAGTTTAAAATAAAGAATCTAAAGTGCTACCTAGATCTGCTGAGTCCGAATCAGCATTTTAGTAAGATTCTTGAGTGATAAAAAGGCTGAGAAGCACTGACCTGAAAAGAACAGAACTCAACCTAAAGCAACCAGATACATCTAGAAGGGTTCATTTTACTGTCCTAGTCTAATGGAAGAACAAAGGATTATAGGAGAGAGCATACTAATAGTTATTAAGCACAAACTGAGGCATGGAAAACTGGCAAAACACACAGGGTCTTCACAACTTCATTGACTAAAATCCAATTTATGTAAGGAGATTCAATCATGTCTTCAAATACTTCAAGAATTCAAAAATACTTTTAAGTCCAGAATAGAAAAACAATAAAGATACTGTGCATCAAGACCAGATATAATTTTCTCTAATTTGAGACTATAATAAAGTGTCTTATGTGAAAAAATTATTTTGAACTCTGGGTCTTTACCTTAATGCACCTTCTCCTTCAGGATCAGGGGCAGTTATGTGACCAGCATCACCTGAGAGTCCATAGCCCAAAACTTCTGCATAGATCCGGGCTCTTCTTTGAACAGCATGCTCATATTCTTCCAGCACCAGCACAGCTGCACCTTCTCCCATTACAAAACCATCTCTCTTTGGATGAAATGGTCGACACGCTAACTTAGGATCTGAGTTTGTGCTCAGAGCCCGGGCTCTGGAAAACCCAGCAAGAGATAAAGGACTAATACAAGAATCTGTACCTCCAGCCACCATCACATCAGCATCACCGTGGGCTATGAATCTAAAAGAGTCTCCCACAGCATGAGCTCCTGTGGTACAGGCTGTTGATACTGCATGATTGGGGCCCTTGAGATTATGTCGAATGCTGACCTGGCCTGCTGCCATATTAATCAGAATCCTAGGGACAAAGAATGGGCTGACTTTATTATAACCTTTTGTCTGAAACATCAAAGCAGTTTCAGAAACAACTTCCAGAGGAACCATTCCCATGCCAATTGCAACACCAGTAGCCACCTGATCAGCTTCTGACTGAGGATGCCAGCCAGAATCTTTCATGGCTAACTCTGCTGCCCCAATGGCCATGATGGTGGGAGAAGACATGGACTTAATATCTGATTTGGACACAAAGTTTTGTTCATTAAACTGACCTTCATCAAAACCTCTTGGCACATAAGCAGCAACACTACAAGGAATATTCTTATATTCTTCACCAAGCAGTGAAACAATTCCACTTTCTCCTCGGAGAAGACGATCCCATACCAATTGAGTTCCAACACCAAGGGGAGTCACTAAACCAATTCCTGTAATGACAACTCTTCTGGATGTTGGCACAGTTCCAAAAAACCTCCTTTCATTTATTAATTGTTGGCATAATCTTGAAGATAGAAAACGACTGCTTGTAATTTTTAGGAAATGTAAGGAGTTTGACAACATGGTTGAGATTCAGATGATCAGAAACACATTCCTGTAACAGACCACAACAGAGTCAGGAAGTATTCATTGTTTAAAGAGCTGAAGAGTTTAATAATGCAGAAGTTGGTTTTCTTTTTTTTTTAATACTTGATGTAAGCTTCTAATAAGCACAGAGAAAATAATGTAACATCATTTTAATCTATTCATCAGCTTGGACTTAATTCCCTTGAGTACTGCAGTGCTTTAGATTGTAAGCACCTTCAGACATTCGAAGTCAAACGAATTAATTATTTATTTCTTTAATAAAATAGAATTGCACAATGAAAAATGTGAAGCCACTCCTAAACTAATAGGGGCTGCAGAAAGCGTTTTGTTCAGGATTGCTAAAAACGGACTCTAAATAGTATTTCTGGCTTAAAGGGAACAAAAACACATTTCAGGGCCCTTGGAGGCGGGTAAGTGGGCTTTATCAATCCTCAATACCTAGGAATAAAAAGAGTTTCGAAAGGCCCCCCAGAACCAGGAGTCCTAGATTGAGCATCTAGGCACTCAGGTTGAGAATCGACTTTAGGGCTAGGCTTATGCCGGGAGGGCGGACAAGTCTCTCCACCTTTCTAAACCTCTCCTCTGCAAGAGGAAAATAGGATCAGCCAATCACTTCCGAAGAACTACGAAGGCCAGGGGCGGGGATTAAAGAGGCGTGGCCATTCCCTGCAAACAYTATGAAGGAAACATGGCTGCACGAAAAGAAATTAAGCCGCGGGTCCTCTGACTTCCCTTTGGAAATTCAACCCCGACACGATTTGGGAACGAAGGGACTGAAACCCACGGGTAACGAGCAGTTGATACCTGTTTAAAGGGCTTTCGGCGACCGCACGGCCCTTCCGCCGCGCTGACTCTCGCGTGAGCATGCGCGTGCATACACGCACGTACGTTCTTACGCGCTCGCTCACGTGCGTCACGTCGGAGCGCACTGAGTCCGTTGACCTTGCACCGCGTCACCTTAGGTGATACCGGGCGGTCCGAGGTGGCTGGGCCCTTGAACGCGTGCGTGGAAAGACTCTTTCAAGAACCTCTGGGATATGCCCGAAGACCTGCGCATAAAGCGAAAGATAGCGTTTTCGCCCGTCATAAAGAAACTTTTTTTTTTTCAATGATAATGCCCTTCTAGTCTCATGTTGTCTACAGAAATCCTAAGAAAGGAAATTACTGTAGCCTCCAAGTTATTTGTAACAGAAAAGTAGAACTGACCAAAATGCCAACATCAGGAAATTAGTTGTGCAATTTGTAGCACATCCAAATGCTATGAAGCCATTAAAAATAATTCTATAGGTGAATATTAATGTGCAAAGATGTTGAAACTGTTAAATGCGAGTTACAGAACAGTATGCAGCATATCCGTTTTTAAAAAATAGTTTTTAAAGGTCTGCAAGGATGTACAATGATTATGTTGTTTTCCTTATTTTTTCTTAAGACTTTCTACTTTTTTTTTTTTTTGGTTCCGGGGAATGAACTCAGGGGCACTCAGCCACTGAGCCACATCTCCAGCCCTATTTTGTATTTTATTTAGCGACAGGGTCTTACTGAGTTGCTTAGTGCCTCACTTTCGCTGAGGCTGGCTTTGACCACCTCCTCCTCCTGCTCAACCTCCGCTGCACCGCTGGGATTGCAGGCGTTGCCACTGAGCCTTGGCTGTTTTTACAGTAAACAAATAATGCTTTTATAATAATTGTTTCCCTAACTAGGCAATGCTCACTATACTATATCCAATGTCTGACAGGAATGGAAACAAGAATAGAGATGAATAGAGACATTTATTTCTAAGTGTTGGAAAAATTTATAAACTATTTGCTCAGACCTGGCTATGTATCTGTAAAGAGAAAATGTAACCCGAAAATATAAAAAGTGAGCAAGGTGATATTCATTTACCTTTATTGATATTTGCTGTTTCAGATGTTTTATTGTTGATCTTTTGATAAAGAGCTGACCATAGAATGTGTTTCTGAACCTTCTAGTCATATTTATGTTTCTTTCTGGGTAATAGCTCTTGAATCCATTGTTTCCAAGTGGAGTACTTTCCTTTCTTTCCCACCCCTAGAAAATAATTTGGGTCAAGCTTATCTTTTTCTTAGTTAGACCTGGATTTAAATGAGTGGAAATTTTCTTTATCTAAAATAGTTTAAGGAAGCCTAGTTTGACCTGGAGAAATCCCTGATCATGCCTAACCAGTCAGTTCTTAGTAAGACCCTTATTCAGTGAAAATAGAGCTCTTAAACACATGAGTAAAACTAAAACACATGTAGTTATATGATAAAGTTTGATGGGTGAGAGCTACATTCTCTTTTTTCATTGCAGTACCCTACTTTTAAATAATGTRAAAAGACTCAATGTTTTCTTTGAAGCAAAACTCATGAAACACAGTTTTAATATGCCGCTATATTTTTCTTTTTAGTACACAAAAATCATCTTGGACAAGAAATGACAAATCAATTAAAAATTTATAGAAAAGTAAAAAGGCCATCATTTTAATTTCTACCTCTGACCACTTTTACTTTCATTTGGAAAGGAGTGGGACATTTTCTGATATTCTAGTGGCTCTGTTTTCTAGAATATCATATTGCTGCAATGCCATAGTGTCTTTTTTTTATCCAAATCTTCAAATTGGCTCCACTTATCATAGGTTCCTGTAAAGATTTCTTAGGTTTGCCTTAAATTCTTTATATTCTGATTCAAAACTGTCTTTACAAATATAACTCCCATGTTCTGTTAAAAAGTTTTTGACCCAGAAAACTGATCTTCTCACTATTTTGTTTTTTTCCTGGTCCTAGGCATCAAACCCAGGGCCTCAAGCATTTCAGGCAAGCACTTAATCACTGAGCTATAGTCCCAAACCATTATCTACTCATTGATCCTAATTTTTCTCATTTTTATACCTGTGCTTGTATTTTCAACAAACATCCATTTATTTCCCAACCTTGGGCTGGAAGGTGGATTACAATTATGAATAGGGGTGTGGTTCCTGTTTTCAAGAAGTTCATAGTCTAGTAGAGGGATACAAGCCACGGAAACAAATGTGTACATACTGCTGAAATTGACTCTGTAATTGAAACATAAAATTAGCATATTATAACACAAAGGGGACAATAAAGTCAATGCTACCTCATTAAAATCTGGTAAATCTTCAAAAAAGTGATGCTTGAACTATATCTTGGAAATGAATAAATATTTGTCCAATAAATGCTTGGGAAACGGCCTCCTTATAGGAGTAGAACCAAGGCCTGGAGCCATAGTGTCAGGGTATCTTCCATATACTGTGAACTGGTTCAATATGACCAATGTCAAAATTGAGAAGTGGGAGTGGAACAAAGCAACCATAAAAGCATGAGAGTAAGGCAGGGGCCAGAACACAAAAGCCTTGGGTGATATATGGAGACCTTTGATTTGATCCTATAGGTCAGAGATCATATGCCAGCATTCCTGGTCTTAATTTTGAGTGTCAATGTTTTAATGATTCTAAATTCCCCTAGGAAGGACATGGTTAACTCTCATTTCCCTCACCAGTGTCTCCCCTACTACTTTTTGACTTGAACAAAGCCTCTTCATAATTTAAATTACCTATTTGGTATGGATACCAGTTGACTATAGAATGTGGGAAAGAGGAACCATCCAAAACTTTTACCAGGAGAATAACATGATCAGATGTCTGTTTTAGAATAAATCACAGCAGTGAACAGGACTGATAAAAAGGATGTGGGAATGGACATAGGGGAGAGAATTAAGATTGGATGTGAGGTGATGAGACCCTGAAATAAGGCAATGACAAGGAGGAGGATGCAGGAAATGTTGAGAAGGATACTCTTCTAGGATACTGACCTTGATCTGATTAAGTGTGGAGGGGTTTTCTCACAGGAAGTCTTTCCACTGCTCAGCTCCTTAATCTTTCAGTTTAAGGACTCTGTTCACATTGTCCCACCTCCATGAATCGTCCTTCTTCTGAATTAGCACTTCTCAAATTTTACTATGCATCAAGATCACCTGAAGGACTTGTTACTACAGATTGCTGGGCTTTCCTTTTTTAAAATAGGGCTCTAAAATTTGTCTTTCTGACAAATTTTCTGGTGACTCTGATGTTACCAAGTTCTTGAAGGACTACAACCCCTCTCATTGCTGATGGTCTTTATTGGAGTCAATATTTTCTTTAGTATGTGTGACAAAAAAAGATTTTGGGGAAATTTTAGTGGATTCTTTTTCCATTTGAGAATAATGCCACTGTGTCTCAACTCTAAAGAAATTTATACTCAATAAAGCTGAATTGGGGGGGGGTTAATTATATTGCATTGACAAATAAAAACATAAGAAGTTCCAAGCTGGTTTAAGACTAATACTTTCATTGTTTGAAGCAATAATGGATATAAAGAGATTAATGTAGTTTAACATCTTTAACCTTTCTAAAGGCACTGGAGAATCAAAATATCTTCAACTTAAGTGAAAGAAGCAGATACAAGAGTGTGACGAAGTCCCTTAATGTAATGAATTATCTTACTTCGTTCATAAATGGTGGTATTCAAAAGATGCTGTACTCAAGAACATTTCTTTTGCTTTTCTTTCTTTTTTTCCTGTTATTCCAAGACGTTACCAGAATGTTGGTAAAGAGATATTTTTAAGGTCTTAAATTTTAAGTGATTTTTAAAAACAAAATGGTGTTTTCAGTGATTTTGTGGAGTGTCATTTTTATTACAGTACTAATGCTATGACATTAGTTTCCAGACTGTAGTTTCCTATGGTCCCATCCTATCTTTCAAGGGGAAGGCTGAGCTGATACCATTCGGCCCCAACTGTTCCTGTCCCCGCTTTAATTCCTGAGCATTTCTCACTATAGTGTTTGGTATATAGAAATTCTGTTTTTATTTAAAATAAAGGGGAGAGGGTGTCTCGTCATTGCACTAGAGCCCCGTCCTCTGCTCCCAGCTCGGTGGCTGACTGCAGGCCCCGCCCCTCCGGGTCCAAGGCCCCGCCCCCGTGGTCAGACACCCGGCGTCTGAAACAGCCGCCGCCCTAGGCGCCGGACTCCTCCGCGGTGCTCCCGTCCTGCCGCTCGCCCCGCCCTCCCGGCCAGCTGCGGGCTTGGCCGCGCAGGAGGCGCCTGCTCAGTGCGGGACGCGTCGCGCGAGGGGCGGAGACGCCCGCGGGCGCTCAGGCATGGCGGCGGCGGCGCTGGGCAGCTGCTCCGGCGCGGCGTCCCCGGCGGTGGCCGAGCTCTGCCAGAACACCCCGGAGACCTTCCTGGAGGCCTCCAAGCTGCTGCTCACCTACGCCGACAACATCCTCAGGTGCGCGCCGCGGGCGACCGAGGCCCGGCCTGGGGTCGCTCGGCCGGGTTCCGGAGCGCAGCGAGGCCCGGAGGAGGGACAGGGGCCCGCGGGCCTTCAGGTCCACCCCGCCCGAGCAGAGGAAGTCCCTTGCAGTTGTGACTTGGCACTGCTGTCGGGGTGCGGGGCCAACTGCAGGTCCCTCGGGTGGGGCCGGTGGCGGGGAGGCGGGAGGGCGGGCCCCGGTCTCTGCCGCTCCCCTCCTGGTTAACTATCTCAAATGTCAAGGCGTTATCCGTAACACGTTTCCTTTCCAGTGCGTGGATTTTACCCGGCTGGGCGGCTTGTGTTTCCATATGCTTATCAGAAGTTAGTCACTGATACAGTGATGATGTCCTCCCATTTTGTGAAATCCCAGTACTAAAGCATAATACGACTGAATGGTGGATTTTCACATATTTTTGGCCTTTTTTTTTTTTCTGCCCGTTGTTGTTGTTTATTGAAACTCTATAAAGTCACAAACGTTGATATTAATGGCTGGATTCTATTTTTCAAACATGACCCTGTAAATGAGTACAGTCACCTTGGAAAGGAATCATTTGTTTCACTCTATGAGC